GTAGTCGGCATCATCAGTGAGCTTTGCCATTCTCTGCACCAAGATACGAACTCGTCAAAGAGACAAATGAGAATGTATCAAGTCCACTGTCAGATGCTGGGAATCATGACAACTACTATGGCAGACGAATTCGGACTAGGTGCGTTCTACATAGTCGCCATGTGACAACGCGGTCAACCCATGCCTTAGCTACTTAAGCTAAGTTAGTTTTCAGTGCCTATCCATATCTATCAGAAAATAACAGTTTATTATGTATCTTAGCGCTGAGTGTAAATAACATTTCTCCGGAATCAGCATCCAAATGCTGAAGGGCTATCTGTCCAGTTCTCTATTTCTACGTGAACGGCATCCAATTGACCATCTAACAACGATTCGAATACTTGTTTAGGTTCACAAGATATCCAAAAGAGTTACTAACACCTTGTATAATTCCAGCCAAACAATTTAACCTGTTATATCTTCACCATCTGAGGAGGTTATTAAGAATGGAAAACGACCTTTTGCTTTCATTATTTTAGACAGATTGTTGTCGAGCCTTTGAAAAATAAGGAAAGATTCCGAATCAAGCATAGTTTATGGTACAAAAAAATCTAAAATAGTCAGAACTCAGCTGAAACAGTTGCCATCGTGAATAAATCCACTTCTTCAAACGGATCAAGTAGGAAGAGGGGCTGTTTATTCGAAATATATTTTGAGATTAGCAATGGTATTTGAATGGCAATAATTACTGTCAAAAAATTCGACGTAACGGACACTGTTCACTTTTCTTATCATCTATGATATAAGAAATGTTTCCGACATCTTACGATTAGGAGAAGGTATATTCCAGACCCTTTGAGCTGAAGTGGACTAGGGGGAGGTTCACATACTCACGACCTCAAGACTATTCAAAACTCAAGTCACTCGTTATGATGCCAATTCGGTTGTCATGGTCATCATGGTACGATAATCCATTAATAGTTGAGTTGAATTTTATAAGTTTAAAGCTAATGTTATACAACTAGTTCCGTTTGTACTGTCTGTACATATGCACCATTTGCATACTTGATTATGGTTTTTAGTTTGGCACCAGTCCCCTTTCAATATATGTGTTTTTTTAACGTCGTATTTGCATCCTGGTATTCTTTACATGTTCACTTCGAAGAAGGCATTCCAAGTAGTACCAAGTGCATTCTTCGAAGTTCACCTGTAAACAGCTCAAATTATCATCAGCCTACTTAAATCTTGCAATATTGCCTCCAAAGAAGACGGACCTGAATGAGGTAATATAAAAAAATGTTTAGAACAAGAGATACCTGTGACAACCAGTCGTGTCTCCTGTCCAGATGGTAGAATTTCTGGATTCGACGGAATTAGCCGGCACCATTGAAACCACCCCCGTCTGAAGAAGGCAGTCACAGAGGATCGCACACGGGCGTGGAATAGTGAGTACAAGACGGGATTTATCACAGTGGACGTCTTGGCAAAAGCGGCAGGTGCAGCAGACAAACCTGGAAGGTCTTCTGGCATCAGATCCAGCATAGACAAAATACAAACCAGGGTATATGGCAGCCAGCAGACGATGTATGAAACCGTAAGAGCAATCGAGATCTGCTCTCATGAATGTGCGTGTGTGCATAACGGGGAAAAGGAGAGTAAGTGTGTTTTTACAAAATCGCAGATTATATGAAGGTATCAAGTGGGGATAATTGGACTGCTACTACTTATGAATATGTATTTGTGAATGTTGGTTTATGTGTACAGCCATTTGCTTGGGAGAGTCAGGTGAAAAGCAACTTGATACAAAGTGACTTTAGGAATTATACCTGTCTGGAGATGCCTGTCCACTAGGAAACAATTCAAGATTTAAAACATGGTATCCCCTCAAAAAATGTAGAGAAACAATAAAACACGTTTTAAGGATGCAGTATGCACTTTGAAACTTCTTGCAAGCCAACTACTGTCTTTCTAACAATCATAACTTTCACTCTATCGGACAAAGACAAAAGCTTCAGGATGAAGAGCTTTGTAGAAATGAATAATGAAATGAATAGAGCTGAAGTTTCCACTGAATTTCACATAGCCTTGCTTTAACAAAAGGTGTTCTCATCCTGGGTGGATTGAAATGGCTATATAAAAGTCAATGGAAACATCAGCTCTACTCATATCATTGTGGGAAAATTCTACTATCGGTCCTTCATCACCTTAAACGAAAAAGGGTGAATACATCCCATATTACTGATTTACTGGTAGCCTCGAAGCTCTACTTGCATACGAAAAATAAGTAACGTAGTCGATTGTTATGGCAAAAATAGGTTTGCTCCATCGACAATCCCAACAAAGAACGTGATATGGGAAAAGGCCTGGCCTTCTTTGAAATTCACATCTGCCCCT